GAAAAGGCAACTCAGCTTGCCACAAACGGATAGATTCCCAGCCAATGTCTGAGCAACAGTGACTTTGGAAAGACTACCCTTTGGTGTTTATTGTTGAGTGTGATGCCATGTAATATGAAATATCTCTCAGGCCAGTTCTGGTCAGCTGTCCTGGCTGCGTCTGCTCCCCCACCCCACCAGATTTTGCTTACTCCAAGCCTAATCACTGTGGGAGGCAGAGAAGAAACAGAAGACCTTGACGCTGTGTAAGCACTGTTCAGCAGTAGCTGAAACATCGGTGTGTTATCAACACTGTTTTAGTCACAGATCCAAAACACGGCACCAGAGAGGCTGCTCTAAAGAAAACTAACTCCATCCTAGCCAGACAGTACAGTGATGACAAAGAGCTCCTGCTGAGACGTTTGTGCTGTGTAAAGCAGAAAGATTGCTCCACGTGTTTTCCAGGCCTGTGCTCCGTTCATACATCCCCACTTACTAACCCTTTTTTGGAACAGAATGACATAGTTGAGCTTCTCATACTGTGTAATCTGCCCTTACTCTTTTCCAGAATTGTCCTAAATGCAAAGTGGTGGACAACTGATGAGGTATTCTTTGAGTGATAAAGCCTCCTAGTTTTGAAAGATTCAGTGTGTTTTGAAAAGTTACAGTAACAAACAACTTGCACGGACTTCATTCTGTCTTGTTACTACCTGTTACTACCTCATTCTAACATAAGCACCTCTCTCGGTGTCAGAAAGTAGGTGCTAGTGAATGAGTCATCCAGTACCTAATGCATCTCTGGTTATCAGGAGGAAAATCAGCATGATTTTTTCTTTGTCACTAAAAAGGGTTATATTGTAAAACTTTTCCATCAGTACTGGAAAGTTGGCAGGTGCATGCAATCACTCATATCATCAGGAGGAGAGGATTCTATTTGAGCTTTCTGACAATGAAATGCATTCCTTAAATGGTATTTTCAGCCAGTACTAAAAGAGGTGGCATGGTCTAGGATAGTTACAGCTGCGGGAGCAAAATCTTAATCTTTGAGCCAGTAAAAATGAGGGAGGAGAGACAGTAGGCACGACAGGTGAAAGATACTGCTTTGTGGACAAGAGAGGCCATTTTCATTTTATTGCTGATTCTGGACTGTTCAGTATCAAAAGACAACAGAATAAGGAAAGAAATCCTGTGGAATGGGCAACATGTGAGGAAAGAGCAAGGGGTGTGTGAAACAGAGGCAAATCTAGCAAGCCTTCCGTACTTGGCTTCAGGATTACAAAGAAAGGATGGTTTTTTGACTGCCTGAGGATATAGAAACTAAGCAGGAAGAAGAACATTTAAGGCAGTTCAGCTAAAATTAGATTAAATTTTAAAGCAGAAGTCATCTGTAGCCCTGTGTCCACAAATTTCATCTCACATGGTGGCAATGGAGAATGTTTTTACTGTCATCTTTGGGAAACTAAGGGCTAAGAAAGTAATAGCGTTGGATTTTTGCCTTGATGGAAATGCACTGGATCTAAAAAGCTGGACATTGCAAGTCTCTGAATTTGCATCTGGATGATTATATCGGATGTTTTCAAATGCATTTGTGTTAAAAGTATTGAAGCAGACACTTTCTTCTACTTGCTTAGGTTTCAGATAAGTTGTTAAAATAACTGTGTCTCGGAATGCTCATCTTTTCCAAAAGTACTGGACACCTTACACAGAACCACTGGGGTCAAAGGGGCTCTTTCTGGTTGTATGGAGGTTAGTTGGAGATGAGGGGGGGGTGGGAAATGCCCTGGGGTTTGTGGGGGGAAGGAAATAACTGAAATAACTCCGCAGCGTTTTGAATCCGTGCTGATATATCCCTGACGACTGTAGTGTATTGTGTGGGTTATGAAGTTAACCACTACAGTGCCAGGGTACCTGTAGAAATCCTTAAAGTCAAACATGTCTGTATCAAGTACAGCATCAGAGATGTTGAAAGAGCAGGTGATTTCACTTGAGAGAAGGCTATAGCTCCAGAGTAAAATGATTGAGTGTGCATCTGAGGCTTATGCAAACCAAAGTTTACATGAATACAGCTTCAGAAATATTTAAAAATTATGTGCACCTATTAGGCCTCTGTTCTTCTGTCTATTTAACAAGGTCTCATCATTTAAGATTAGTTTTAAATTCACTTACCAACGTTCTGTCCTTCTTACCCATCAGTAGGAAAGTTTCCTCAAAAAGGGTTTTTTGGAGAAAAACCCTATTACTGTAAGGCACACGCTTGTGTACACACGGAAATGCATAGACAGAACAGGCTAGAACATTCCCAGATAACAACTGGTGTCTTGTTTCCTTTTTCCTTTCCCAAAAGGGGGATTTTATCATACTGTGGTGATGTAGTTGACTAATAAAGCCTTGGCCTCCTGCCTCTATTGCTTAGTGGTTGCTCTACAAAACAAAGTACTAATGGAAGTGTGTTTCTGGGTGTTGAAGGAAGTAATGCAAGTCTGATTGCCAGGGAAAGTGACAACAAGGAAGCTATGCCGTATCCAGTCATTAGTAGGGCTTAAACTGTTCTGCCACCAGTCTAAGAGAAATAGATTCAACTTTGAGGTATCTGTCCAAAGCAGAATTAGGAAGAATCCTGGCCAAACGTGTTTTGCGGTTTAAATGTGGTGTATGGTGGTTTTTTTCTCAGTACAGAGCTGGTTCTCAAACTTTGCTTTCTGAATTCGAGGCAAAAGTACTCATGGCAAAAATATCAAGACTGGTAAGGGTTTAGAAATAATCATCTCGCATTGTTCACAGAAGCCCTTCCCCAAGTTGCTTGAGTCCTGTAGTTCTCTGTATGTGGAAGCAGTCTAGCTGATAAACATACACAGCTGCTCGAAAGACTAATTGCCAGAATTTTTTTTATCTATTTTAACAAAAATGCTTTAATGCATGTTTTTGGAGGAGAAAAAGGGTAAGTCTCTAGGATGGCTGCTTATATCAGTAATTTCCAAAGTAGTAAGGGAAGCTTCCCAAGCAGTTCTGAAAATCTTCTGAGGTAATTCCTCATGGGGGAAAAAAAAAATTAAGATTTCAGCAGTGTTCTGAAATAAATGACTCTGCTTTGTAAAAAAGCAACGTTACAGCAGTCTTAAATTTCTTTTCACTACTCACACTGCATTTTTCAAGTCTTTTTAGTTTATAGAAGATTACTTAATTCATCTTTTGATTGACATCAGTAAGTCTCACCACTGTACAGGTGTAAAGAAACTTTTACATCCTATAGGTGTAAAGAAACTTTTTAGCCAGTGCTTTTTAACCCATTGTAATTATCCTTGAGATGCTGTTAGCTATACAGGTTACTGTATTCTCAGTCCCACACAGTTGTGGGTTATTGACCCACGTTCTATGTTGGCTGAACAGCTACTTCGGTAGGGGCTTTGCCTTGTATACTATCAAGCTTGTCCTGTTACCTTGGGAAGCATAGGCTGCTTACACCTGGGCCCTTTTATACCATCTGGTTCAAGATCTGGAGCACCTCTCCTATGGTGAAAGGCTGCAAGAATTGGGCTTGTTCAGCCTGGAGAAGAGAAGGCTCCAAGGAGACCTCATTGCAGCCTTCCAGTACCTGAAGGGGTTGCAAGGATGCTGGGAGAGGACTTTTTACAAGGGCCTGTAGTGACAGGACAAGGGGGAATGGGTTTAAATTGAAAGTGGGGAGGTTTAGATTAGATATTAGGAAGAAGTTCTTCCTGGAGAGGGTGGTGAGGCACTGGCACAGGTTGCCCAGAGAAGCTGTGGATGCCCCATCCCTGGAAGTGTTCAAGGCCAGGCTGGATGAGGCTTTGAGCAACCTGGTCTAGTGGAAGGTGTCCCTGCCCATGGCAGGGGGGGTGGAACTAGATGATCTTTAAGGTCCCTTCCAACCCAAACCATTCTATGATTCTATGATTTCTTAACTTAATGTTGTCTGTAGTCTATGTCCAGGCTGATACCTGGCCTTGCAGCAACGGGGCTGATAACGGTGTGGCTCTTGAACGCTGAATATCAAGATCTTATCTCTGGGCAGTTCAGGAGGGGCAATGTCACAGTACAGACCGGTGGTGCTGCTGAAGTCAACAGACAGGTCTGCGTCGTAAAGCACA